GGGCTACAGGTGTTCCACCTAAAGTCCTACCGGTCAATTTGCGTGTTTTTACCTTTCTTACTTTGCCAAATCAAGCGAACTATTCTAGACCCGGTCTAGTATAGTTTGACCGGTCAAGTAATTTACACCATCATTTTTGGCGCCGACCGTGGGACCGTTAAGGTTTCTTCTCCTAAACACAAACCTACCCACCAAAACACCACTCGAAATGTATTCCAGCCAACAAATCAACGCTACTTCCGCTCAGGTGCAGGCCACCAACGAGGGAGCCAGCATCCCTGTGGCTGCTACCATACCGGTCATTTCAGCCCTGGTGTTGCCTTTGGGTCTGAGCTCTGTCCCGACGGCCAGCGTGATCAGTCCCTTCGTGACCCCCGTCCCTTCCGCTGGACCGAGGGTAACGTTCCCACCAAGCATGACTCAGTTCATGAATGACCCAGCCAACCTACAAGCCATCCAGGGCTTTGGCCAGGTCTTGGCCATGTGCCAGCAGAACGGGGGGATGCCTTTCCTCCCTGGTATGTTCGCATTCGCCCTTCCAGGCGCGGGGACCATGCCCCTACAAGCTCCGATGGAGGTGACGTCGTTCCAGACGCCGATGCCGCAACCATCACCTTTCCAGCCCCAGTTGGTCAGCACCATGGCCCCTGTCAACTTGGCCGGTGCACTTAACGCTGCAAGGCCGTTGCGTCTCCCGCAAGCTACGAATCCGCAGATCACCCCTGATGGTCATTGCGTCTCAATTGAGAGTGATGACGGCGAGTGGGACATTCCGAGGGCCCACAAGAAGAAGAAAGGAAAAAACATCCGTCCGGCAACTTCTCGAAACTCCGCCTTCGAAAGGCTGGGGGATAGGGAAGAGGGCCAGAGAAAGTCAGCCAAGCTGAGGCTGGGGCAGAGCATTGTCCATGTCAACGGGTTCGCCCGGTTAGGCGAGGGAATGGAGGCCAAGCCTGCCCGCACCCAATGCTCCCGGTCAAACCGGCGGGAGCCAGCAAGGACGAGGGCCTTTCGTCAAGAAGAGGAAGCGGAGAGCCAACCCAGGTTACCAATGGCTAACCGGTTAACCATCCCCAATGATCGCGTTCAGCAGATGGAGGCAAAATTGGAAAGGCTAGAGAAGAAAGTCGGTGAGAAGAATGACCGGGACAAACCCCTCGCAGGGTCCCCGTTCACCACAAGGGTCCATCTGACACCTTTCCCGCGAAAGGTCAAGATCGACGCACCTAGATTTACCGGTAAGGAGGACCTAGAAATCCACTTGGACTCCTTCAATCAGAGTGCAACCATGAATGGTTGTACAGACGAAGAAAAGTGCCTTCTTTTCTTTCAAACCTTGCAGGACCGAGCTACTGAATGGTTCAACAAGCTTCACCCGGGAAACATCGATTCATTCAGCGACTTGGCCTTGAAATTCAAGGCCAAGTTCCAAGAGAACTGTACTAAGAGGAAGAAATTCACCTATCTTAGTACAGCCGGGCAGAGGGAGTCCGAGAACCTCACTCAATTCCTTACCCGGTGGAAAGAGGAGGTAGACAAGGTGGAAGAGATGGATGACAGAACCGTCTTATCCCTCCTCTTGAATGGCTTGCGTGCTGGGGAACTATACAAGGAGTTCTGCCGGAAACCCCCGGCCACGTACCAAGAGGCCTACCACACTGCATGGGAGTTTGCTGAGGCTGAAACCCAACTCCGGGCAAAGAAAGAAGCTGAGCATGGTTACAAGCCCCAGCCGGTGCAAGTCAAGAAGGAAGAAGCCCCGGGACCTAGCCGCCCAAGACACCACTATGACCCGGTTGTCCGTGTGGTCAATACGGAGGAATGCCAAAAAATCCGGAAAGCACCGGTCATTCTTCCGGCAAACCCTACCAGTCAAACAGGGCGGCAATGGTCGGGCACCTATTGTTCGTACCACAGGTCAGATTCCCATAACACCTCCGAATGCAAAGGTGTTAAGGGGGTGATCCGGCAAATGATAGACAGTGGAGAACTGGGCAAAGATTACCTGCAAAAGGCCCATGAGAAGAACCACCAATCGATTAGGCCAGGAACCCAGGGAAATGACCGGGATACTGACCGGCGGAGGAATAACCGGTAGAGGGAGCAGTAGCCGGCCGCGGAAAAGGAACACATCGTCATTTATTATGTGAGCAAAAGCACTAAACGGAACTGAAAGTAGATACACAGCGATGGAGAAAACAGCCTACGCGCTTTTCATCTCCGCAAAAAAGTTAACATCCTACTTCCAAGCTTACCCGGTAGAAGTCTTAACTGACCAACCGCTGGGTGCAGTGTTGCGAAATTCAACATCCTCCGGGAGGATGGTGAAGTGGGCAATGATGTTAACTCAATTCAATATTGAGTACCGGCCAAGGTCAGCAATCAAGGGACATGCCCTAGCTGACTTCTTAGTAGAAATGACCGGTCTAACTCCAAACTTACCGGTCAACAAGCCCACTGAGCAATGGTGGGAGATGGTAGTTGACGGGGCATCTGGTCCTAGAGGATACGGGGGTGGTATCGTGTTCACCACCCCAGAAGTGTTCAAGATCTACCATGCAATCGTCTTCAACTTCAAACTGACGAACAATGAGGCAGAATATGAAGCTCTGGCTGGAGGGCTCAGGCTTGCCCAAGCCCTGAAAATCAGCCGGGTCAGTATCAAATCTGACTCTAGCCTGATAGTTGGGCAGGTGACCGGTAACATGGAAGCAAGGGAAGGACGCATGGCACAATACAAGGACCTTGTACTTGCCCTGTTGAGAGGCTTCGAAGAGTTCAAGATCGCCCAAATTCCCCGGGCGGAAAACGCGGACGCAGACCTTCTCTCCAAATTGACGCAGTATGCTCCCGAGCATGTTTCAAAACTTGCCCGGGTAGAGATCCTTGACCGTGCAAGCATCGAAAAATTGGAAGTCGCCGCTATAACGGTCGGAAGCCAATATGACCAGTCAAACTTGGTCGGGGCGGACGACCATTGGATGTATGATCTGATGAAATATTTGATGGATGGGAGCTTTCCAGGACAAGATGACCGGGCAAGAAAAGTAAAGCTCAGGGCACCCCGATTCCATTCTCCCTAACCTATGGATGCGAAGCAAGGCTGCCCATCGAAGCTGAATTCCCAACGTTTCGGGAGTCAAATTATCAACCCCAGCAGAATGAGGAAGATCACTTGGCCGAACTCAACTTGGTTGAAGAGCGGAGAATGGCCGCGGAAGTCAAAATGAGCACATACCAACAAGTTGTGAAGAAGTACCACGACAACAAGGTTAGGCCGCGTTACTTCCAAGTAGACGATGAAGTCCCGCGAAGGAGAGAGGCTAGTAAGCCGGGGGACGGAAGAAAGCTGGCCAAGAACTGAAAGGACCTTACCGGGTGAAAGCAATCACTTGCCCGGGGACCTACCGGTTAGAAACTCTAGAAAGTGAGGCCTACTTTTATTATCAATCGAATTGATGGCATTCAGCATTCTACGTGATAGCAACAAAAATGATAGGTCGAACCTATCCTAGGAGGGCTTCCCGGGAGGATCGAATTCACTTGGATAAGCCAACTGAGACACAGGCCCGGACCTGGCACGCTGGTTACTACACCGGTCTTGCTCAGTATAATAGAAAAAATAATAAAGCCCGGAAGAGGGGCCCGGAAGAGGGTATGCCTGCAAGAGGGCTGGACCTGGAAGAGGGTTCGAACCGTACTTACACGGGCCCATGAGGTTTGACCGGTGTCGGGGAATCAGCCGGCACCGTCAAATTGATTGGGGACTAAAAGATGCCCATTAAAAGAAATAGAAAGGGATCGTCCACCGTGGCGCATCCTATATCCCCCTTCTCAGGGAAGACTTGAACGGGGGGTGAGCTAAGGCCTTCCCGGGATGGTAGAAATCAAAGGGCCATTAAAAGACTTAATCACCCGGAAGAGGG